GGGGTTACAAGAAATAATGGCCACAAGCTAGCAGAGAGCAGATTTAGATTAGACATTAGGAAGAACTTCTTCACAGTTCGAGTGGCCAAGGTCTGGAATGGGCTCCCAAGGGAGGTGGTGCTCTCCCCTACCACGGGGGTCTTCAAGAGGAGGTTGGATATGCATCTTGCTGGGGTCATCTAGACCCAGCACTTTCCTGCTTATGCAGGGGGTCGGACTCGATGATCTATTGAGGTCCCTTGCGACCCTAGCATCTATGAATCTATGAACAAGGGCATGTCCAGATGAGTGCGCATGTGCAGTTTGTGGTGCCACAGACCACAGGCATTTGCAAGCATGTTCATTTGAAGTGCGGTGGGGTTTTTTGACGCTAGGAAATCCCAGTCTCAAAAAAATCCATGCCAAGAAAGGTGGGGTGGTGCACGTGGCAGCAGCATACTCTGCTGTGCTCTGGATGCCGGTCAGGCTCTGTGCACCCAGATCACCACTGCTGAAGCCCAGGAGGCGCCCAGGACTCCCGCTAAGGCTGCTGGAGCCAGTCCAGGTGCTGGCCTCAGCCTCCCCTAGTTCACCCGGGGCAATTTGCTGTGTGCCTGAGCACGCATGCAGGGGTGTTCCCTGGGGACAAGTAGCAGTGGCACAACTATGTGGCGCTGCTATTTGTCCCCGGGCAAATGCATGTGCATGCTCATCTGGACACTCCCCAAGGTGTTAGCCAAAGGCTCTTTCCAGTCTCATTCTGTAGCTTTTTCAACTATATCAATCAGATTTCATAACAGGGAGATGTAAGAGTCATTGGGTCAACAGGAGCTGAGTTCCTTACCCACGGGTAGCCTATAGTCAGATGAAGCATTTGCATGCAAGGTAAGAGATGTGGGTTTGAACCCACTTAGGTTGAAGAGGGAATTGAAGCCGGATTTTAAGTTGAATGAATGCTCGGAGGATCTCCTCTAACAAAAAGCTGAGTATAACCACTAGCAGCCCCTCTTTAAAGGAAAGGGTGAGCCAGTTGCCTGTTGAATAACTTAGGGCCTGAGTCCAGCAAAGGTTTTGGACTATGAATCATCCTTTTCTGTAGGTGCCTCCCTGCAGTCCTGAGTTAGGTACCTAACCTCCGGTGGAGTGGGATTTATGACACACCCCTCTCTGCAGCATTTGCTGCGGGCTATTTTAGGCAGTCGCTTGTCATATTCCCATGCTGAAGTCCCTGCCTCTACCCGTGCATTGTGCGGGGAGCTCGGCTCTTCCCTTTCAGCATGGAACATGCCTGGGCTGGCAACTCTCAATGCTGCACTTTGATATATCTGTCAAAAACCTTTGCAAGCCCTGAAACACAGAACTTGCTTCAACCCATCCAAGGTGCTTAAACATTCATTGAAAAATTCCCCCAAATTTAGGGGCCTCCCATAAGACAAACCTTGAATAAATTCAGGCGTTTTAACTGTTTGCAGCTCACAGTGATCCTAATCCTTAAACCATTCCTTGCATTCTTCTCTTTCCCCCTTGTATCCCACATACCGTAGGCACTTGCGAGCTCAATCACAATTTTTTTTCCTTTTTCCTTCCTATTTCTTTTTTTTCTTTTACAGTTTGATATAAGTGAGGATGCAGATAACTTAATTTAGAATCCAGGTGTTAATTTACTACCTTTATTTAGTGCACATTTGCTGTTCCTTTTCTCCTCTCTGCATTTGATTCTACTTGGCAATAATAAAAGAAAATTCCATTTGCTTCCCTTAATATTCTGGTTGTCGGGCTTCTCCACTCACTGTTAGCTGATCCCATGATGAGATTTATGTCCTGCCATCTGATCCTTTTGTATGAATCCAGTTTATAGCTATAAGGATTATAACTGTATTGTCTTTGGATTGCAAGCTCGTCTCTGTGGGAGGCAAATAAAAACATTTGTTTGCAAACCAAATGCATCAAGAAATGTCCAAGTCTTGCTTCAGCTGTGTAACTTGCTTCCTGGTGGTTTGCAAACTTCAGTGTTAATTTTAGCCTGGCAAGGCAACAGTGCCTACTCTGCATTTCATAAGCAGTTTTAATACTGCAGGCTTTTGTGATATCGCCCTTGCCACTGTCGTACAAATTTAGGCATAGCAAGCCTGTACGCTCATGCTGAAACTTTGTAAGTCCTGAACAGCATGTTAAAACAAGAGCTCACAGTCAGATGCACTGCCGTGTGGGATCAGCAGAGAATTCAGAGTTTGATGTGGATACCTTGCAACTGGATACCCATGAGAACAGAAGAGTTGAACGGAAAGAGATTAAGCAGCTCATTGTACCTTTTCCCCCTGTGAAGTGTAAAGAACTGAAAGCTTCATTGTTTGGTAACCACTTTAAAGTTAAAGGGAAAGAAGAATTTCTTTAATAGAGTCCTCCAGTAAAACGTGTTATTTTCATTGATTCATTTCATTGAATCAAATGAGCTCATCCAGAGCTGTAGGCATGAGTACAAAAACCCAAAAGCCAACCCCCCACCCCATACAAACTCCATTGTCCTCACTCTGATCACAGCTTCCCCTACGGTGAACAGGTAGCTTCCTCACACAGTGCACACAAGTCAGCAGTGGGTCCTTCCTGCTCTGGGGCCTGGCTTTATTCATAAAAGGAATTCAGAATGAAACAATACCCCCTCCATGTTACCCCAGGCTTGGCTGCTCCTTGAAAACTGTCCAGTCTACTTCTTACATCCTTTCTCTCTACGAAGCCATTCTTGCCTCACCTCTGTCTGCATGAGATAATGAACCACCTGCAACAGTGCGTAACCAGAACCAGTATAACATATTCCAGCTGGACTATTGTTTGCTAAGAGTTGAAGATTTCCAAAAAATGCTGCCAACCTGATGTACAAAACGAAACACTTTTTAGATTGTACGCGGTACCCCATTATACAGGCAGTCCTCGACCTACAACGTTTCGAGTTACAACGTTTCGCACTTACAACAGTTATAAATTGACACCCTGTTTCAACTTTATGACATCAGTTTTGACTTTACAATGCTTGATCTGATGCCACGCCACACCAGCAAAAAAGTTTGCTGCGTCACTCGTCTCCCTGGAGAACGTCTGTCCAAACTTCCTTGGACACTTTCTTTAAGAAAGCAGACGAGACTCCTGAGAAGACTCCAGCCAAGAGCCCTTCAAAAAGTCCAACCAAGAGCCTTTCAAAAAGTCCAGGAACGTCACCTCAAAGCAGTCCTTCCAAATCAATATGATTGCTGTTTACAATATACATACATTAATGTAGCTATATTACTCATCTATAATTGATTGAGGACAAAATTCTGGGGCATTTTTGGTGAAAAATGGGTATTGGGCCTTGGTTCAGGAAGCAATCCCCCATTTATAACACTGTTTCTTATGAGAAAATTGGTTCTGAGTTACAACGTTTCGACTTAAGATGTGGTTTTCAGGAACCAATTGTGTCATAAGTCCGAGGACTGCCTGTATATACTTAAAATTCAAATTGTTTAAAGGCATTTGAGAGAGAGAAGCTGTGCTCTCTTGCTCTGAGTTTGGGATGGGAAGACAGAAGTTCCAGAGTTCAAATCCCAGCTGTGTCATGGTTTTGCTATGTATGTC